GATGTTGGTAACAGTAGTATTTCTGCGTATTTGGGTACTTAAAAATGTTAACCAAATTAATGAGTTTCGATCTTTGCTTTGGAGATTTTTAAGGAAGTCATGGCTCTGAATTTCTTCCCTACTGTTGTTTTATTAATAATAAGAAATCTCTACTTTTACCAGTTTCATATATTTGACACTGTGTTAGTCTTCATTATTTTTAAGGAAAGAATTTGCTAGTGAACTAATGCTTGAAAGCTACTTGGGGAGGGAAAGAAAGAATACCTAAAAAAGAGTGGTAAGTCTGAACAGAGACTGGAAGGAAATGTAGGACTTCAACAGGTATGTGGAGGTAGACAATGGCATTCCAAGTAGGGAGAAAAGCTTGTGCAACGGCAGGAAGGCATGAGAGGATATGATGTGCTCACTGTGCTATTGGAAATAGTATTTTTAAACTTCATTTTTCATTTGTTACTAGTGTATGGAAATACAATTGATTTTTGTATATTGTCCTTGTATCCAACAACCTTGCTAAATTTACTTCTTTCTAATAGCTCATTTGTAGATTCTTTTGGATTTTCTACATACACAATTATGTTATCTATAAATAATTACCATTTTATTTTTTCTTTTCCAATCGTAATAGCTTTCATTTATTTTTCTTACATTAAAGCACTATACAGCACAGGCCAGTATAATGGTGAGTAGAAATTATAATATTCAATATTTCTCCATTTAATCTGATGTTAGTTTTAACTTGTTGATGGATACCAGTTATCAGAATAAAGATATTCCCTTGTATTCCTAGTGTGCTATGAGTTTTTATCATAAAAGCAAGTAGTATTTTGTCATATCCATTTTCTGCATTGATTGAAATGATCATACTGTTTTTCTCTTCATTCTTTTAATAGAGAATTACATTGTCTGAATTTTGATGTTAACCAGTGTCGCATGCATGAAATAAATTCTACTTGGTCGTGATATATCATCATATATTTGAATGTGTGTATAAGATCAGTTTCTTTTTTAATAAACAGAAGCCTAATGAAGTGACCAAGATTGTGTTCTAAAAACTTGGAGCTGAAAGAAATTACCATCCAAGTCTGAAGGATGGGTGAAATAATTCCTGGAGAGGAAGGGAAAGGTAAGGCCAAGAGTACTGTAGAAGCAAAAGCCCCAGAGGAAGAGTAAATACAGCATCTGTAGGGATCAGCAGAGAGACTGGCCTTGCTGGTGTAGAGGGCTCCTGACAGGTTAAAAGAAAAATATTTGAAATGAAAGCTGGAGTTAGGCTACCAGAGACCTTGAATGGTATCTGACACTGTAGGAGTTTGGATGTGATCTTGGCGATATTAATTCATTATATTTCTGAGAAGCAAATGGCCAATATGAAGACTGTGTTTTAGGAATAATGTTGGAGCAGATGGTTCAAAGATGATTTGATCATTTCTGGCTTGAGAAACTGACTGAAGCACCGATTCTTGTGCATAGGGGTTTGGGAGAG